TACCAAGCCTGGAGTGACAGCCCCTTCTCTTTAGCTAACCTGCTCCTAAAATGTCCAAATGAAGCAAAAAGCCTCTAATGAATTAGTCCCAGAACTAGACAGCTTACTTGGAGTTACTTACAATACATGCAAGGTGATCATAAATTAAAATTGACTCCCAAATGTGTATCAGCATTTACTATTTTGATCATGTGCATTTACAAACAGTTATTGAACCATCTGGGGCCAGGCCAGGAGCGGCCCCTGCCCCTAGTGACCCCTGGTTAAGGGACAGGGAGGACAGCTGTAAGATGATTGACTTGTGCTGATCTAATCTGGGAAATAAGTGCCTAGAGAAAAGTCACACACACACACACACACACACACACACACACACACGTGTGCACTCTCTGCAGATCCTTTTAGCTGGGAAGAGAGGTGGTGGTCAAGTTCTCCACAGGGCCCTTAGCTGAATCGTGACTCTAAACCCTGTTGAGATGAAGAAAGAACAAGGTCCTCACTTCACAGCATCAGGTGAAGGACAGCCACACCTTTAAAGCATCACTTTAATAAGCCTGGGATGGGTAATAGGGCAGAAGGAAGAAGTGCTAGCCTGATTTTAAAAAAAAATGTTTACTGCTCCTGGGCTCCTTTGCTGAAGTCCCAGTGGAGTCAGGACCTCCAGGTGGAGCCAGGCTAGCTCTTCAGGTCCTGTGGAGTTAAGTTGTCCCCCACCACAGAACAGGCACCACTCCAGAGTCAGCCCCTCGCTGGTTACTGCATGCTTTCATGGCCTTGGACATGTTAATGAGCCCCGTGCATATTCTTCTTGCAGGCTCTTGGGAGTCACTTAGAAGCCTGGGCGCTTCCTCCAGGAAGCACTTCACCCAAGAAGGAAGTCTTGTCTCCTGAGGGCCAGGGCTGGCCTCCTGGTCCTGCCTCTTCTGGCTGTTTCCACGGATCAGGCTCCCATGGCTGAGCCACATTTGCAGCTCCGGTCCTGGTGGAGCCCCTGGGGAATCCCAAGCTAGTTTCCAGCTGGGCTGCAGGAACTCCTGTTGCGTAGACCTGCTCAGCATTTTCAATATTTTAGGGACTTTGAAGAGGTCTGTTGTAGTCTGGGGTGGAAAAGGATCTTTTACTTGCAGCTAAGTCAACACAGGAAGCCTGCTAGTTTAACTTATATGCTAGGTTTGTTAGGGGAAGGGGCGAGAGTCTGTCCTAAGCCTTCTCTCATCACCACCTGCTTCTGCAACCCATCAGCAAGTTCAAGTGCAAGACACACGCACAAACTCTACAACCCACCTACACCACTAGCTCAATCCAAAACTTCCAGGAGCCCCAAACCGCCCAACCCACCTCCTTTCGGACCAAGCACAAACCCCATCTCTAACCCTACCTCCGTTTGTACCTTGGGCCTGAGCGGCCGCCCGCGATGTCCCGCCTCTAGAGGGCGCTGATGGAGAGGTAGTAAGACTGACTCTTGCCAAAGACTCAAAGAGGGACCCCAGGGACTCCACCCCACCCCCCTGTGGGCTCATTTGAATATTTCAATGGCTGCCGCCAGTCTAGTCAATTTATCATGCAAATGTGGGTGCCCTCCGCGCCAGAGAGGAGCCACTGCCAGCGCAGGAGAGCGGCGCCCGATTGGTGGCCGAGACAGCGGCATTTGTAATATTTTTCTTTGGGCATTAGAGTCATTTACCAATGCCATCACCACAACTCCAGGCACTGAATCACAAGCCACTTAAAGGGTTTTATTGGCAGTTCTGAAACTTCTTAACATGTTCTTTTATTTTAAACCCAGTGTCTACCTATTTCTGACCTTCCTCCACAGCCCCCACCTAGAAAGGTGCTACAATTACAAACCACTTACTTAATTCTCTCACTAACCCAGTATGGGTTACCACCCCTGCCTTGTCTTGGAGAGGAGGACTGGAGCTCTTTAGGGGTTGCACTTGGTGAGTCCTAAGTTAAATAAGCTCTGAGTATTCCTATGAACGTGGAGGAATTTGTAGAAGAGAGTACCACAGACGAAAGAAGAAAGGAGGAAAAAAAAAAGATGAAAGAGATAGTGGTGGTGAGGGGAGACGTGGCAGGCAGAGGAAGAGAGAAAGCAGGATCCAGGGTTTCCCTGCAGAAGGGGTGAACCTTGGAGTTTAATAGAAGAGCTGTGATGTCATAGACCACCAGTGTGCCATCTAATCTGACCCCTGGGCCATGTGCCCTAAACAACCCTGGCTCTGCTATTGTCTAAATACAAGAAATATTCATTACGTTTCAAGGAATAAAAATTTGAAAGAACGCTGTTCCTTTTTCTTCTGTCTGGTACCTGCCCTGCTGAGAGTTTTCTTAGCTTCCTCCCCATTTGGAAATTTGGGGACAAACACAAAATCATAATGTAGAAGACAGACAAGGAGAACGATATAAGAAAAGACAAAAGGGAAACCAGAAGGTTCCTGGTTTTGCAAATTCCCTGGTCCGTTAAGAGGCCACCGGGCATAGAGAGCTGGGTTGTCTAGTCTGCCGCGAAGACAGGGTGGTTTGATTTCTGGGATAGCCTCCTCCTCTGGGATTAGTGCATTCGAAGAGCCGGGGTTCAGCCCCTAATCGGGTTACACACGCAGTTATTCAGATGCCCGCTGGTGCCTGGCAGCTCCCGCAGCCACACGAGAAGAGGTGGGCGCCTCTGCTTTCCCACTAGCGAGAAAACCCTCGCTCCTGGCCAAGGGTGAGTTCCCAGGCGGCGGCGGCTATTTGATCTGAGGTTTTGTTCGTTTGTTTTTAACTCTGCCCAACTGGTTTCTAAAAATCCATTTCACTCAGAACCGTGTGAAGAGGCACGCAACGTTGTAGCGAGGAATTCTGAAAATTCCCCCCCGCAACCCAAGCCTCCACGTGGGACTTGAGCAAAGTGCGATTCGCTGGTGATTGCGTCCTCCAAAACGCCGTATAATGTACATCTGTCCTCTTTAGAGCGAAATACAAAGGCTTTTTATTTTATTGACTCTTCTTTCTACTAAAAAAGAAAAAAAAGTTTCCTGAAAGTTTAGTAAATGATAGAACGAAAGAGCATTGCAGAAGAAAAGGAGGCGTTTAAAGACGCGCGAAGGAGCAGACACGGAAGTAGGGGGAGCGACGCATTGGGAAGGTGATCGCCCGCCCCAGCCTTGGGAAACCCAAGGAAGTGGCCGCTACACCGACCCTGAGCACAGGAGGGGCATTCCGGAAGACCCGGTTCTCCACCACCCCCACCCCACCCTTAATCTTGCTCCCTCCCTCTGCCTGGTGAATAGTTTAGTTTTAAGGGTTTTTTCCCCTCCTTATCCCTAAGGCATTTAGAACTGCTGGGGAATCCAGAATAGAGGAGTAGGGTGATGGAACTACGTGGAACCCAGCCGTGAGCCCTGGCTTCCTCAGAGTTTAGACCCATCTGCTTCTAACCAAAGTTCTCAGGCACCCCGGAGTCAAGTCACGCCCACCCAGGAGCTCCTCGAGGGCTGGGATCCCGGCTTCAACTCTGCTCCGCCGGGACCTCAAGACCATCCGCATCGAGGTTGCCCCAGAAACACACCGGGCTCTTTACTTTTGAGGCCGGTGAGAAATGCCTGGCAATCTTTGGGCCGATTAGGTCAAATTGGGCTGTACCTCTGTGCTTCATGCCTTAAAAAATTCAAAGTAGCAAGCCCCAACCCAGAGGGGTTGTTCTGGGAGTGTGTCAGAAGCTTGTACCTGTGTGTGTGGGGGGGGTGTTGGGGGGAAGGGTTCACATCCCCAAAGACAATTCTTGACCTTGTGACACAAAAGTCCGCTACTTTACTTCTTCCAAGGCCGCCCCCCACCCCAGCCACATCCGGGCGCGGGGTGACTAGCTTTCCAGAGGCCCCACAGAAGCGGCATTAATATACCGCTCCGATTTTCGAAGGTTTATTTCACGTCAAAACTGTAAAAGTTCTTGGGAGAATTTACAGACAAAACATCTGGTTCGTTAAAACAAAGCTACTGGAAAAAGAGAAACAAACTTCGCTGCTGCTGTGTAAATGCACTTTTAACAAACAATTTACCGCCTGGTGAGGGCCTCGCCCCTGGGATCTAAGTCTCTGGCTTTGGCAGGAGCCGAGGTCCCTCAAGGATCCCGGATCCAGTGGGAGGTGTTTGTGTATCTCTGCACCCAGGGCACTTTCTCCTCACTTCCAAGCTCACCAGGAAGAGGGCAGGAGAGCACAGGGGCACATCCAGGAGCAGAGTGTTCCAGGGCAGCTCAAGCTGGAGAGCACTTGGTGCCACCTCTCTTGGCACTGCCTGGCCCTGGGCTTTCCAAACTTCCACTCTGGCCAGACACGCACCTTCAAACCTGGTGCAGTCTCCCTGAGCTTTCTCCCCAGCCTGGCTATTGCTCCAGGTGGCGCTGGCCTCCTTTGGAGTATCAGCACCTCCGCTCCTGGGTCAGAGGCTAGGCCCTGAAAAGCCTACCCTGGCACCTAGACTGGAAATGCCAGAGTACAGGACACCTTTCCCTGAAGTGATTTTCCTTGTTGGCTGCCCCAGTAAGGACACACGTCAGCCTTCCTTAATCCAGAGGGCCCACTGCACTCAGCTTCCACCTGGACTGCAGTCTGGCTGGCTCCTGGCAGTGTCTCAGCTACTCCTTCGCAGAATGGCTGGCTTTTGATTCTGGCATAGTGGGGGGAGAGGCAGGTCAGTGCTCCTCTACTGCACACCTGTTCAGAACCATGACTGCATCTTTTTTTTCTCTCTCTAAATTTTCAGGACTCCTTAGGATGGAAGGGACTTGGATTAGACAGGGTCAGAAAAGCCCTAGGATGGGTTTGATCTATTGGAGGGAGGTCCTGAGGGGAATAGGGTCTGGACATCTTGAGTTCCGAGTTCTGAAAGCTGGAGTCAAATTTCTCACTTCTGACCCAGATAAGCTTCCTTGGGAGTGTTTCTAAGGAATACAGCTTAGTTCTTGGCCAGCTTCCTTTGGGCCTGATACAATCTGAGGGGTGTGTGTATGTCTATCTATCTAGCTTTCAGGCTCCCTGGGCATGGTTTGGGTTCATAAAGTGACCACCTAGTTTTGAGGTAAGCTACCAGTTTCCCATATGGGTACTTGGGTGACTCCTTTCACTGTCTCTCAGCCCATTTTTCTTTTATTTTAAAGTTTTGAATCCCCCCGGCACACACACACATGCACGCTACCTTTCAGAGGTGAGTGCTTATGGTTTAGGCACTGATTCAAGTGACTAAGTTACCAAGTGCTTGCACAGGGGAGAAGCCTGCAGAGCTTTTCAAAAACACCTATAAATGTTTGAAGGGTAAAGTAAAAAAAATGCTACACAGTGTCTTCTACAGAATCTTTGCTTCTCAGCTGGGCAGGGGCTTTTCTGCCTTACTAGCATGAAAACAGTTGGATAACTGGGTGTGGTGTGTGGTGCGCAGTGTGCACAACCACACTTCACAGCGCAAGGAAGCAGGCACCTTCTCCTTCCAGAAAGGCCCCCCAGCCAGCCCTGCTGCGGAAGCCTCGCCTGGCCTTCTCCAGGGCAGAGCAGAAGTCTGAATGCAGCCTTTCCCCTCCTAACTCAAGAATGTCGGTGTGAACAGCTGTGCAGGGTTTCACCCACATGTGCAGTCACCTCTGAGGGCAGAACTCGCGCAGCAGCCAATACATTAAGAACGAAGTAGGGTACAAGGCCAGGTACCTACAGCCTCCCCAAGACGTCCCAGGAGCAGGTCCTCTCCACACTCTGGGTACTCCTCCCTCCTCTTCTGGGGAGGAGGCCCTTTGGGCAGACCATACTGATCCGGGGCACACATGTGTGCTTTTGTTTACCCTCTGGACTAGTGAGGAGGGAGAGGGAGCGAGAGGCAATAGTGGGGAGAAGGTGTAAAGGCAGCCAATGTCAGCATCCTGGGAGAACAGGCGCCAAAATCTAAGTGCAAAGCTCTGGTTTCTGGAGTACACCTCCCTGCCCTTTCTCCCTCTGTAAATAACATGTGAATTACAGACTTACTGCCATCCAGACAGCGTTTCTCCCTAAATCAAATCCCTAAGTTTTCACTGGAATCTCCGTTTCCTTCCCCTCTCCCACTCCTTCGGGTCAGGCCTGGTGGAGCAGGTGCCAGGCCGGTGAGGTAAAGTTTTACCTTTAAAGTTCCTGGCTGAGACCTGCCAAACTACTTCACCCACCCGGCATCCACCCAGGTGAAGTGGGCTGAAGCCCCAGAACCCAGGCACCTTCCAGGTCTATCTTGTGATTAGTGTGCATTCGGGGATTTCTCATTCCTCCTTTCTTAGCCACACCCAACCCTGAAGAAAATGGGCACAGAACTACTGGGAGTCAAGGGGTGACGATGTCACTTTTCATCTGCCCCTTCCCTAGAGAGGCCTGAAGAGCTATTCATATGGTGGGGGGTCTCTAGACTAAAGGGGAAGGCCAGTGTGTGCGGCTATACGATCACAGCAGAGATCAGGGATTTAGGCTGTGAAGCCAGCCAGATCCCCAGTGCACTTGTCCGTGTCCAGGATAGGCAGTGCAGAGCGCTCGTGGTGAGCACTCCGCATGGCCGGTGTTGTGCGTGACGGGCTGTCGCTGCAGCGTGAGGTCCACTGACACTGATGGATGCACCAATGGTTGGACGGACAGATGCTAGGGCGGATCGCACAGGGAACGGCGCGTGAGCAGCAAGGGAGAGGCGCGGATCTAGAGGCTGCGGCAGCCGGTGATGCGGTGATCCGAGCTTCGGCCATGGTCTACAGGGGTAGGGGGCCGAGGGTACAGGGGTTGGAAGACCAGAGAAGGGAAGGAAAGGAGGAGGACAGCACCACCCAGGCAAACTGTTTGCTTTCGGTACGCGGTGCCCGGTGCTGCGCACACACGCCGCAATATGCGCGTGTAAGTGGGCACCGGGGCTTCCAGGGGGAGCCTAGGGCCGGCGGGAGGTGATCTCCGGCGGTGCCGACCCTCCTTCAGGCCAGAGGAGCCCGGCGCTGGCACCAGAACCGCGAGGTAGCCGGCGGCGTCTGCCGACTCACCGTTCCCTCGCTCGCAAGAAGCGTTTCACGCCCCACGGCCGCGTCTCCCAGGCCTGGAGGGGCCGCCATTCCGGCCTCGGCGGCCACAGGCACCAGCCACGCTTGGCGTCCCACCCACAAGCACGCCACACACCGCCAGCATCGGAGCCCAGTCGGCACCCGCCTTCGGTTCCCGGCCCCGCCCGGGTCCGCACCCCGCAACTCCGAGCGCTCCTGCGCGCGCCAAGGCGCTGGAGGCGGCTTTAGAGCGGGGAGGACGGCGGCGGCGGCGGCGGCGGCGGCGGCACATCTGCATTCGGGAGGCGTCTGGACCGAGCCCAAGCCCGCAGGCTGGGGGCGAGCGGAGACTTTTGATCTTACCGTCAGGGCGAGATCACGGTCTCCTGGTCTACAAGAAAAGAAAGCACGCTGTGAACTTTTAAAACAAACTTGTAAAAACAATCACAAAGAAAACATTAAAGGGGACAGGACGGGAGGAAAGGGTGAAAAAGCGTGAAAGAGAAAGAAACATTAAAAAAGGGGGGGGGGTGCGGAGAATAAGGCAGGACTGCAGCTCCGCGAGCGCACGGCCAGCCGGTCCCGGGGCACGGGGCTCCGACCCTGCCGGGACTGTTGGCCTCCGGGCCGCGCGAGCGTCTGGCCCTAGCGGGCGCGCCCCCATGCAGTGCCGCTTGGGGGACGGCGAGCTCGCAGGCCGCCCCCGCATCCCCACCACCGGCGCCGGGCAGCGCCCGGAGCCGGCCCCGCCGAGGCCGCCCCATTCCCGGCCCAAGAGCTGGCCTAGGGAGACGCAATCGAGCCCGCAGCGCATCGATGCGCCGCCGCCCGCTCGGCTGGGGCTCCGGCTCCAGCTCCGCCGCCGCCGCCCGAGGGTCGCCCCCATGAGCTTCAGCCCACCCGCGCCCTCACCGCCGCCCGTAAGTGAGCCCGCGTCGCCCTGTCGCCGACGCAGCCCGGCCAGCGCCTCCTCTGCGCGGCCCGCCGACTGGGCCCGCCCGGCGCCTCGGAAACCCCAATCGCCCAATCAATAATCAATCCCCTTCCTCCAGAACTGTCCGCAGACCGGGCGCGGCTGGGTGGTCCCCCCTCCGGGAGCCCTGGGGCGGGGGATGGGCTGAGGAGACCGAGTTTCCTCTGCTGCCCCGTCCTGCCCAGGCATCTCAGCGGGCGCGGGGGAAGAGGGTGGGGGCGCAGCCCAGCGCCCAAGGGGGCTAGAGGCGGGGTGCAGGGACCCCGACCGTCCCAAAGTCTAGAGAGGAAACTTGAGAGACACCCCTTCCTACGCTGACCCGCCTGATGGGCCCGGGAAAGTTTGCCTGGGGAAAAAAATAAGGGGAAGTGGCCGCGGCGGATCCCAGGGGAGGAGCCCGGGTGGCGCGGGGCTGAAGGCGGCCCCCACCCAGCTGGACCAGCGACTGCCTCTACCCTCGAGGGCGCCCACCGGGCCCGGCCTTAGCATCCTCCGGGGGCCTGAGCCTGGGGCCAAGGATCACTCTGGGGGCTCCTGACACAGCGGGCAGAAAGGAGTGTGGGCCGGGCTGGGCGGCCAGGGTGGCCGGGGGGCGAGCCTGGGTGGGGATGAGGGGTGGGCGGGGGCAGCGGTCGCCCCGGGATGGGCTTGGCGGGGCCGGCGTCGCGCCCCAGCGTGCGCGCACGGGGCGGAGGCTGAGGGGCGGCACCGGGTCCCCGGACTGGGCGGGGGTCCTAGCAGGCCCGGGGCCGGGGGCGGGGGTGCGGCGCCCCCGCGGACGGGCAAGTGACACGATCATCTCCTTTTCCTTTAAGCTTGCCTGTTGCCGTCGCCGCCGCTCCAGCCGCGCCGCGGGCAGAAGACTGGACCACTGAGCCCCGGGCCGCGGCGGCGGCTGCGCGCCCCCCCCGGATGCCTTGACCTCTGCTCGGGGGCGGGGGCCGGGGCAGGACCGACCCGCGGCGCTCCCGCGCTCCTCCTCCCACCCCTCTGCCCGCCTTCTCCTCCTCTCCCCGCCCCCCAGCCCCGAGCCCCGCGCACCTCGTCTGGGGACGGGGCGGGGGGGGGGGGGGCAGGGCCGCCGCTCCTCCCCGCCCCCTCCTTCTCCGGCCTCTGGAGCGATTTGTCAAACTTCCCATTCCACCGGCAGCGCGGTCCTCCTCCTCCTCCTCCACCTCCTCCTCCTCTACCACCACCACCTCCTCCTCCTCCTGGCCTCCTCCTCCCCCCGCGCTCCTCCCTCCCCGCGCCTCCCTCGCCCGCCCTCCTTCTTCCCTCCGCACGTTCGGGGATCGCGGCGGAGCGCGGCGAGGGGGGGACGCGGAGAGCCGGGGCGCAGCAGCATCCTGCGGGCGGCCGCTCTCCGGGGGGGAGGCTGAGAGCAGGCCCGCCTCGCCCCCCCGCGGGCCCGCCGCCCCTCCCTCCCTCTCCTCAGCCGGGCAGCGGCGACGGCGGCGGCGGTGGCAGTCGCGGGAGAAGCATCATGCCGAGGAGGAAGCAGCAGGCGCCCCGGCGCGCAGCAGGTACGAGCCGCTTCCCCTTCCTCCTCCTCTCCTCCTCTTCCTCTCCTTGCCCCGCGCCTCTGGCCGCCGGCGGCCGCACTCCTCGCCCCTCTCCCTCCGCCGGCGCTGAGTAACTCCGGGCGCCGCTCTCTTGCTGGCTGTTCTCTTCTTTGGGTGCGTGCGTCCGCCTCGGGTGCGGGGAGCCCCCGAACGCCCCGCCGCGCTCTACCTTCTTCCCTCTCGCACCCACTTCGGGAACCGCGCTCGGGGCGGACTGAGCCGCGCTGGGTCCCCGCCTCCCCCGCTCTCGGGCTGCGGAGCGGATGGGAAAGAGCCCTTGTGTGTCTCTTCTGTGAGGGGCGGGCGGGGTCACCTGAGTTCCCCGGGCCACCTTCCGTGTCCTCCCGCGGCGGGCCGGCGGGGCACTGCCCGGTGTCTGCAGAACGTGAGACAGTGAGCAAGTGAACCAGCCGGTCCCCTTGGTCACCTTATTCCTAATTCCATTGATTCTTCATTTGTTGGGCCCAAACCCGGCACAGTGGTGGAAACCAGAGCGCACAGGGTCTGGGTATTGTCAGATGACTGTCAAGACAGTGTTCCATGCTGGCATTTCCTCCAGCCCGTTTGTGTCCCCTTACCCCCAGGCCCCTCCTTAAGCTGCTTTTCCTCCCTTATAGTACTTAGTTCTGGGACGTGTCTGAGTGTTCCTCCTCACCCCCTTTTTTTTCCAGGAGTGTCAACTCCTGTTAAGACCAAACTGTGTGTGTGTGGTTTTTTTTTTGTTTTTTTGTTTTTTCTTTTCTGGAAAAAAGCATCATTGCAAACAAAACAAAACTCATATACATTATATTATTTTGCAATAATGTTGGTCGGGGGCATGTTGCCTGGAAGAAGGGTTTCTGGCCCATTGCCACCCTTGATTTGATGACTGATTGATTGCCTGTCATGCTGCTGCCTTTGATCTATTCATTCCCAATAAACATCAATAAATCACTTGCAATAGTGAGGCCATGCTCTGTGACGTCAGGAGGGCCTTGTCAGTGCAACTTTGGGGATTTGGGGCAGATTGCCGGGTGGACCACATATGGACATGATGTATTTTGATATGAGTAACACTCAGATGTGCAGAGGGTCAGATGCTGCCTGAATGGGGAGGGTTACCCGGAGGTTCACTTTTCCATCCTTTCTCTTCTCTTGTTTTGGTGGACTAGAGGAGGGCAGAGAGAAGGCTCAAGCATTGGTGTCCTGGGTGCCAGTGGTACTCGCGGGGCTGGTGATTTCCATCAGGCCAGCGAGCACCCAGCGTGTGGAGCTCCACTCCACCACTACACTCTTTTTCTACACAGGGTCAGGAAAGGGAAATGATGTTCTGTCTTCCTGCACAAATGTGCTCGCCTGTCAGTGTCTTAGGAAAACCTTAGCAGGGAAATAGACTTGGTTTGGTGCACAGAGTGCAGGTTTTACTCTCTATCCCAGTGTTGCCCCAATTTAGAAAGTTTGAAAAGCCCAGTAGTGCAGGTAGAGAGAGTGCGGCCTCCCAGCTCACCTCCTGATGCTTCCTGCTCATCCTACCTTCTGCTTTGAATCACAAGCACTAGTAGTGAGCTTCTCTACCTAAAATAAACTCTTAAACTTTGGGAGAAATTCTCCACAAAGTTGGGTAGTGGGAATATCTTGGGATTCTTCTAGTCTTTGAGATTTTTTTTCTTTCATTTTTAGATACACTTTGTAAGGTATCAGAGTGCCTCAATCAGACGAACCATATGCGATTCCATCTTTACATTTGGTTTAGAACCCCCCCTCCAGTTCATATTTTCTCTTTCACCGTGCTCAACTGAGACTCTTATTGGATGACTCTCTTCTGAAATGATTAGAGAAGGAGGAAATGTGCATTTGGCCTTATTTTTATTTTTTAAAGCAACCTGTTCACTAACCTTTTTTGCACCTTTTCAAAGGCCAGCCAGGAAATCTCAGGTCAGTTAAGAAAAATTCATTATATAAAAACTTGACTGCACGACTAATAGGAGATGGAAGAATGGTTTTGCTCTATCAAAATGACCCGTCAGAACGACTTTGTTTCATATTTGATTTAATTGTCTCTCTCCTGACAGGCACATTCATCAATAGCTTAATGGTCAATCAGAAGTTGGCAGCGTGAGTGCTTTCTTTCTTTCTTTCCCATACCCTGGTTTTGGATTTACTTTATCAGAATGCCTCTGCCTAATGGACATGTGGAGGAGGGGGTGGAGAATGACTGAAGGGCTACTTATTTAAGGCAAGTGGAAGGGAAAAAGAAACTTGCACCTTGAAGCTGGCGATAAGTGTGCTCAAGCCAAGAAGTGAGCTGTGTGAGTTTTTTTTTGTTGTTGTTGTTGTTGTTTGTTTGTTTGTTTGGATGGATAAGAAACTTCCCATTTTTTCCAGACCTCCTTTTTCAGTTCTCACAGCTGCAAGTTATAAGGTTCATGCTTGCTTTTGTGGCATACTGGGAGTGATGACAAATTGATTGCTTTGTACTGATAGAGCGAGAGTGGGAAAAAGAAAGATGTCTGCTGATTGGTAACTGGAAATCCAGTCCCCAGCAACCTTGAGAATACTTGAGAATTTTTTTTCCCCTCCAAACTGAAAGGTCCGCTCAGCCATAAAAAAAGAAAAGTTGTTTTGCCAGCTTCATTAGTGTTCACCTAATTAGCTGTAAACCTGATGGATTCCTGACAGCTTTAATGATTGGAGATGACAAGCTCGACGCAGTGTCATCCAGCAGAATTAGGTTTGCAGCTAGTTTGATGTAATCAAGTTGATATTACACAGTCCTGGCTGCCTTTAGTTGTGCATTAACTCAATTTTCTGCTGCAGGTGACAAATGGGCTTTGGTACCTGGATAATCATGTCATAGGAATTAGGGCCCTTTTAATGGTCTAGGGTAGAATAACAACCACAAAGGGCCAAGCTGGGTAGAGCCTGCAGTCAGCACACAGGTGCACACAGCCGAGCTATCTAGGCCAAATGTAACCCTGTTCTGCAGAAGGCCGAAGCAGGCTCCAGGAATCCCTGAAAAGATGTCTTTCTGTGTTTCACGATTTTTTTTTAAAATACAAATTATACATGGTTTAGTGCCTTTTTGGAGTGAGAAAGGTTTATTTACCTGTGTGAGGGGAACCTGGGCAGGAGTTTCCTTGTTCAGGTGTGTGATTTCTTAGGGCCGTACATTTGTGCTGGACAGTTGCTGCTGCCTGTACAAGCTCAGAGAAACAGAGTTAGCGAAGGCCAGTGAGTGTCCTTTAGGCAAAATGACTATTATTCTTTGTCTAAAATGCAACTCTTTTCTGTTTGTAGCATTTGTTTCTAAAAAAGTATTTTCTAAAACAAACAAAAAAAATTGAAACTACTAGTAGCAGATCATAGTTTGTCTATGAATATATATATTTTTGGAGGAAAATATGAACTCATGGAAGGCCATTGCCTGAGCTTTTTGAAAAATCCCTGACCAATAATGACTTGCCATTGCTCTCTTTGAGTCTTGCGTTGAAAAAGAAGCACTCTTCCATGGAGTTTTTAGGCAGCAGCGTCCCTCCAAGCATCCTGACTTTTGTACAAAGGACTTCGATCACCTTAGGACCTGCTGGTGTCACAGAATACTGAGGGGCTCCCTGGGTACGGCCTTCCACGTCGCCAGCTGACATAGGCAGGCCTACTAAGTGGCTCACCTAGTGGGGTCCGGTTCTCCCTTCCTGAACCTGGTTCATATCTTGGGCAGCCCCAGAAGGAGCCTTTGTTCTCTCTTGGATTGCCCTGGAGCCTTCAGGAGGACATTTCTGCCTCGGCTTGGGGAGTTTTGGATGCTCCTGAACCTGCTACATTTCTCTCTTGGACAGGTAGTCTCTGTAGCAAGGTGCAAAAATGACTGACTTTGGCCCCCCAAACACTGCTGTGAAACAAGAGGAGCAGTACACATTTGAGAGAGGAAAATCAAAAGGAGGAAGGGGAAGAAAAGGGCTAGGCAGCAAGGATACTCCTGCAGAGGTCCACATGGGGAAGAGAATGTTCTAGAATCAGCTGCTGCGCCCCCATTATCTTGACAACTGCCAGTGAGAGCTTCACTGCTCTCCAGGGCCACCCTTGATTGTGAGCGGTTGATGTTGTCATTTTGTTCTCTGTTTTGCCTTGAGCACGCTCATAAACGGGAGCGAGATAGTCAATAACTGATGTATCAGCATTTGTTTCCCAAATTGCCTCATGAGTCTGCCTTTTCCTTTTTTTTTTTTTTTTTTTTTTTTTTTAGTCAAGATTGTTTTCTAGAGTGATTGGAATGAAAGGTGACTGCTCAGGGCCACGGGAAATGCCGTGAAGCCCAGGTGAGTTCACAGAGTAAAACCCTGTCCTCTCCCCCTGCGCTGCACCTTTGGGATTTCTAGGAGAAAGATCACCTTGAGGACCAAAGGCCTGGACGCTGCTGGTGGTTCTGCCTCTTCTCCACGTGTCAGGCCCAGGCAGGGTTGCAGGGCCCAGGCGGAAAGCAGAGGGGAGAGGACTTGGGAAGTCCCTGGTCCTCCTGTGCCATGGCTGCATTTCTCCCAGGAGCGCCAGCACCTACTCCACATGCAGCCTGTGAGCATTTCCTGCTGGCCCGTTTTTATTCCTGTCTGTGAGTGGTCAGACTACAGAAACAGCTCTGGTCTTATAGTAGAAAATAAATAAAAATAAAGGAAGGCGGTCTGCCCCTCTGTGTCCGCGTCCCCTGCCCTGTCCAATAGATGGAGTCTCCAAATAAGCTGTTGTGTTACACTCCTGTGGTGTCACTCCCAGCCCACAGGGAAACTGCATAGAACAGAATGGTACTTTCTCTTACCCAGAACCCTCCCAGGTGCTCACTCTGTGTGTGTATGTGTGTGTGTGTGTGTGTGTGTGTGTGTGTGTGTGTTTTAGTTATACTCCAAATTGTGGTTTCTCTGTCTCAAGTTAAAAATGAAAGGTGAATAC